AAAGAGACTTGAAGAAGGATTATTGATTGTTGTTGGATATTATTCATAAATGTGTAGAATCACATTATCATTGCCGTGATAGATTGTCTAAGGAGAAATTGATGATTATGGATATTATCTTGAACAATGTTTGTGTGGATTGGGGAGCTTTTATGTTTGGGAGGTTGTGTGAATCTATAAGGAAGGCCAAACCTTTAGTTGATGGATGGTTCCAACAAGAGATTGGTTACGGGTTTGCCGTTGGTGAGATTTTGAGAACCAAGAATGTAACCCTTACAAAAGCCAAACACATTACCAACCATAGCTACTTGTTTCGGCCACCCAACTCAAATGAGCCTAAAAATCCCTCCTTACCCTCAAGCCTACTTGTTTCCTAAATCTAAGACAATTTATCCGTGAGCCGAGTAATGAAGGTTCGAATTCTCCCACCGTGAGATCCAATGAGGAACAACATAGCCACCCAAGCTCTACACCCTTACCCACTCAAAACCCGAACCACCCGAACCGCCCCATTCTTGAAAGTCAAGGTTTTGAAAATAGAGTTGAGGAGAATGTTGTTGTGAATGATGTTGTTGAAGTTGGAAGTGATGATGAGACACCTACAATTGGAGCGGATAGTGTACTCTTGGAGGAGTTCAAAAGAGCACTAGATTGGAGATCATGGAGATTGGGAACCCATAGTGTGTTGGCCGAAACAATAGGGCCAAATACTTTGGAAAATGAAGAATTTGTGTTGAGTTGGTTGGGCACAAGAGATCTTGCAAAGGCTACCCGGCTTTCGGTGATTAAAACTTGTTTTTCTACTAAGCTTGCTAGGAAGAAGAGAACCGAAAAGGGAATGATGGTTGAAGCCACAACCGAGGAGCCTTTAGGAGAGTTTGATTCAAATGATATTCGCCGTGCCACTGCTATGTCTTTAGTAGATACCCGAAGAGGACCCGGTGAGGGATCTTTGGTGAGAAGTGATGATGTACGGCCCTTAGGATTTGATCCATATCCTGCAAATTTTGGGGATGCAAATATGAATGAAGATTTAAGCTTTGAGTCCTATTTTCCACATCCCGAAACGGAGGTTACGGGATCCATTCTTGAGGAAGGGAATGCACCAAGTCAAGGGATTTCTTTGAACTTGGATGAAACAAGGAATTTGCCAACTTTGCCTCCTTCCTATGAGTTTTATGATCAAGCAAATCCAAGACATCAACCTACTTTACTTCTTTGCTACAACACCGAAGAGGCCGAACCAAGCTTTGTTGATGCAATGATCACCACACCAAGAGATGATTTTGCACACCCTTTGCCAATTTCAACCGCACCCGTGCAACATGAACCCTTGTTCAATGCACAAGCCTTGAGAGAAGAAATTGTTGGAGATGTTAAGGCAATTGTACAAGACTCTACGGGTGGATTGAACACAAAGATGGAGGCAATGGACACAAAGCTTGATGACTACCACAAGGAAATGGTGGATCGTGCAACACAATTATTTAATAGGCAAGCCCTATTAAAAACCGAAATTGACACGGCCAAGGAAGAGTTGAAGAAAGATGTGTTGAAGTTGTTCAATGAAATGGGAAAGCATGGGTCCGATACTACGTCGCGGCTCAAACTTTTGGAGCAACAAGTACAAGGTTTACTCACGCAATCGCGTATTCACATGGACCTTCTAGAGGGAGTGCGTGAAAGGCAAGATTCTTCCACAAAGAGCTTTCAACGTTTCATGGATGCTGCCGAAAAGGGGGAAGGATTGGCACGTCATTTTGTGCCACAAGCATATGCGCAATCCCGAGCTCCAAGAGGACCATTGGTTGAGCCAATTCGGCCAACAACACCAAGAGCTCCAAGCCGTGTGAGTATGATTGATTACCTCAAGGGAACTTGTCCAAGCCAAAGTTCTACATCTTTAGGAGTGTTGCCACCGACGCCAATTGTTCCAATGCCGAAGCCAATTGCAACAAGAGTTCAAAAATTGCAAGAACTTCAAACGGAGTTCGGACACCGCAATGAGCAAATGTGTGATGGCCGAACATTTGATGAATGCATTTTCTGGCATGAAGCAGGAGTACTAAAAGGGAACAACATACGGGAAGCTTATGGCAACTACATCACCGGGCAAGTGACCGCACCGTATCAACACAAAGGGCTAGAAAAGGACTTCAAGAAGCTAAGAGAGTTCATCAATGACAAGCTAAAAAGGAGGTAACAATTCGAAAGACAGTTTCAAATTTTTGGTTGTACAAAAATATTTTAGCTAGCACACTTCTTTTGACATCTTATATATGCTAAGCTAAAATGGGTTTAAATTGCATGACGATATTAATTCGTACCATACTAAGTGAGTCTTAGTTAATTTATTTATTTTGTGTTTATGTCACAAGATTTTAAAATTGGACTTAGGAATTACATGTGAGACGTACAAATTGAGAAAATAAAATTGAAAGGGGGAAGAAAAATTAAAAGATAAAAATCAATACGCAACCCCGCGTTATAGTCTCAATATACGTTTAGGATTGTCCAAAATTAAAATCTCTAAGTCACAATTTTTGTTAAACCCGTCAATTGGCTAGTCGAAATAAAATTGATTAAAAAGAAATTATTTTTCAAAATTGACAAAGCCAAAATGACATGGGTATAAGTTTCGGCATCATCAAAAAGGGGGAAATTGTTAGGAATATATTGTAAATTTTGATGAGCCGAATGTATTTTTGAAAAATCAAGTAGTCCCCAATTTTATTCTATTTGAGTCAGTCCTTGTCTACGGAGTATGGTGCACCTATATCATGCAACCCATGTACAAGTCTGGAAAATCATATTTTGATTTTCGATGTTAAGCGGGATTATAGCTTAACATAATTATGTTGCGGAGAAGTCACCAAGAACCATGCTAGAGGAGTTGGAAGAAATGCGTGTGAGCTAAATCAAGTGATCCTTAGTTCAAATCTCCAGTGAAGTAATTTTTAAGCTTGCTTTGGAGACTAGCTTGGACCGTATGGGAGACTAACTCCACCGTATGGGAGACTAGCTTCACTGTATTGGAAACTAGCTTGGATCGTATGGGAGACTAGCTTGAACCGTATAACCGTATGAGAGACTAGCTTGAACCGTATAACCGTATGAGAGACTAGCTCAATGTATACGAAGATCGTATGGGAGACTAGCTTGGACCGTATAACCGTACGGGAGACTAGCTTGAAGAAGTATGAGAGACTAGCTCAAAGTATACAAAACCGTATGGAGACTAGCTAAATGGAGACTAGCTAAATGAAGACTAGCTAAGGAGAGACTAGCTAAGACAAATGCACAAGTCTCACAGAAGCCATGCACCATATGGAGAAACATACCAAGTATGGTGGACTAAGCTTGAAATTCGAAACAGAGCATCTCACCATGAACAACAGTGAAGTTTTTACAGAGGTTCCAGTATATTATTTTACAAGGATCATGAAGGAGAAAATATCTGATATATTTTCATCTGAACATCAAGTTTTTACGGTGGAACCGGAGACGCTCAAAGAAGGCTGATTTGCGGAGAAATAATTTTATACTCAAGCAAGAATCAGCAGTTAAATTATTTGATCAACTTGACATGTCAGAGCATTTATGAAGGAGAAGAAAATCAAGCACGCCGCGCCGAACTTATTCAAATTTTGGAAGCTACAAAATTCAAGACACGGCAACGGGCAATTTATTCAAATCATCTGACAAAAAGGAGAAATGACATCTACCTACAATTGCAGATCAAGTTGACAAAATTATCAGATCAACTACAATTCAAAATGGACGATCAAGATCGAAAGTTGATCAACGGGCAATTAGCTTTCTTTGGCTATAAAATGCCCAAGCAGACTTGAAGACAAAGGGGACTTGAACATGGCTGAAAATTGAGATATACAAGCAAGAGAAAAGCAAGCAATATTTATATCAGCCTAGAAGCAATATATTGAGCTATACACGATAGAATTCAAGTCTGAGTGAGAGAGAAATTTTATTTCTTTGTAATATTCTCTACTGAGTGTAGAAAGAGGGCGGAGTAACTAGAGAGAGTGAAAAACCCTGGTTGAGTGTAGCTTTGTGCGTAGCACTCGTGGTGAAGGGCAGAGTAACAAGAGGAGCTTGTGAAAACCCTTGGAGGACGTAGCTTTGTGCGTAGTTCTCATGGTGTAGGAGTACAGCTTGGTGCGAAGTACTCGGGAAGGCGGAGTAACAAGAGGAGCTTGCAAAAAACCTTGGAGGAGTGTAGCTTTGTGCGAAGCACTCGGAGAAGTGTCGGTGGACACTTATTCACTATTGTATCTGGGTGATCGAAGAATAGTGAATTTCCTCCTTGAAGTGAAAGGAGAAGAGTGGACTAGGAGGATTACACCACCTCTGAACCACTATAAATCTCTCTCTCTATTTACTTACTGCTCATACATTTTGTGCATGCTTATTCTAACTACGATCTAACCCGATTACGATTTATCGCGTATCTTTATCTGTCTGGGTTTGATAGTTCCCACGTTTGCATGCGAGCCAAACTTTGCGTACATTATATTTGAACCACATTAAGTGTTTCTAACGTATTGCATGTTTAGAATCTCTCTTTGAGCACCACACTATTAAGCATAACACTATACCGCTACCTATTCCGCTGCACACTCTAAGTTGTTTATCTTGATGATGCTTGTTACTTAGAGTTGATATAATTAAAGTGTTATTTGCCTTGTGTGTTTTGCGAAAGAATTTGAAAAGTTAGAGAAGTCTATTCACCCCCCCCCCCCCCTCTAGACTTCTCGCCACCCATTCGGGACCAACAATCCCCTTCTCATTATAGAAACTATCCATTAGGAATTCACTGCCATTATCAGTTCTAATCATCTTGATTTTAGAAGAAAACTGTGTATTCACATAGTTATAAAACTTTTGAAACAATCCCTTAACTTCTGACTTGCTACTCATTAAATGTACCCATGTGAATCTGCTGTGATCATCCACTATGGTCAAAAAATAGTGTTCTCCCTTCAAAGAGGCAACTGCAAAGGGTCCCCATACATCCAAGTGTAACAAATCAAAACATTTATCAGCTCTAGACTCACTGAGAGGAAACTTGGATCTTTTATGCTTAGCAAATTGACATATATCACAGACAAAATCAGAAGTTTTGCATATAACATGATTTATTCCTTTCAAGGATTGTATCTTATTCAAGGGGTAGTGTCCTAGTCTATGATGCCAGACTTCTAGAGACACACTATTACATTCAGCAAGCTTATTAACTTGAGACTTCTTTCTTCCAACAGGAGGATCAGTAAGCAGATACAAGCCACCTCTTTCCTTAGCAAAACCAGTCACTGTCCCATGAGGCCCCTGAATATTGCAGAAGTTAGAACACATGACAATATTGCATGAACTATGTCTTGTTAATTTGCTAGCAGATATGATATTGAAGGTAAATGAAGGGATGCATAACACATTTCTTAGCAACACATTTGAATGCAGTCTGATTTCCCCTATGTGTGTTACATCCACAGCTTCTCCATTGGGCAATTTGACAGAGGTACCTTGCACTTTATAGTAATTTTCAAGGTATTCTAAGGAACAAGTTATGTGATCTGTAGCTCCTGAATCAAGTATCCACACAGCATGAGAGTGTAAATCATCATTGATATGCAAGTTAGAAATAAACCTGCCTTCATTCAGTTCCTCAGAGTGACTTCTGAAATCTGATCTCATCCCTGGCTTGGTTACTGTGATGGCAGCATTACTAGAGGATTGGCTATCAGCTTGATTCCCTTGGTTTTGACCTTGCAGAAGTGTCAACAATTTCTGAAGCTGATCTGTTGATATCCCTATATCACCAATTTGGTTAACAGAACTTGGAGTATCAACACTATTCTTGTTTCTAGTTTTATATCCTGGAATCCAGCCTGGAGGATAACCATGCTTTTTGTAACATTTTTCCACAGTGTGGCCACTCATGTTGCAATAAGTACACTTAGGTATGTTCTTCCCTCCATTATTTCCATACCTCTTTCTGTTATTTATACTGGAGGCTGCTACCAGGTTTTGATCATCTGTAGGCTGATTCTGAACAGCATTAGATTGAATCAGATCAGTGTTCCTTTGATTAATAGTGCCTTTGATCTTCCTTTCTAACTTCAAAGCCATGTGAAGGACCTTTTCCACAGAAGGAATTGAATCCATAACCAAGACACTAGTCTTAATAGACTCATATTCATCAGTTAGGCCCTCTAGGAACCTGATGACTTTGTCATCCTCTCTCTCTTTCTGAATTTTGCTAAGTGGAGTACATGAGCATCTAGGTCGACACTCACAAACAGGTAAAGGCCTCATAGAATTTAGCTGTTCCCATAGACCATTACACTTAGTGAAATACTCGTTTATAGATCTATTACCTTGCAGATTTCTGAAGATTTCATTCTGCAACTCAGCTATCTTGTGAGGATCCGATTGTGAGTATCTCTTCTTAAAAGCACTCCAGATATTTGCTGCCATTTCATAGTACAAGACACTCTCAGCTATGGTTGAATTCAGCGATTTCAGAATCCAGGAACAAACTATGTTATTGCACCTCTTCCACACTGGATATCTCGGATCTGACTCTCCTGGATTAGGAATTGTTCCATCAACGAAGCTGTACTTGTTTTTAACTTCCAGAGCTATCTTCATGGACCTGCTCCATGAAGCATAGTTGAGCTCGGAGAGGGGAGGAGAAACCAAAACTAAATTTGGATTTTCTGTGATGTGAAGATAATACGGATCATCGAACTCCTCATTCCTTTGATTCAAAGTTACTGGATGCTGATTCGCCGGAGGTGATGGATTGCCGGTTGAGGTTCCCTCTTCGGTTGCATCGCCTGTCACCACAGCAGCGGCATAGCTCCGATTTCGCTCTGATACCATGATGAAGAACTCAGAGCATCAAGCTAGCTAGATAATTGAAAAGAAAGGGTGTGTTTATTCATGGTGGTTACTGTTTCATTGAGAGCAGAAGAAGAATGTGTTACAGAACTATTATGAGACCAAGCTCATTTATATCTAAAGATGGAGAGGCAGTTATAACAGAATCATCCACCTAAGCTACAGCTAAGCTGACAGCAAGGCAGCTCAGACAGCTCATCAACTCAGCAGAGAACAGCAGAGAACAGCAGCAGCTTCTAGCTTGTTTATTATTTCATCAAAGAGCAGGAGGAGAAACGCAAGATAACTTTTAGCCTGAAAAAAGAGATTGAGAAGCTAAAAGAGTGAGAAGAATGAAGCTGCCATGAAACTTGAGGCTTCTGAGAAGAGGGTTCAATTGTTGGAGGAAAGATATTCTCACTTGGAGAAGTATTTTGGAGTCAAAGAAGGCAAAATGGCTGAAAATCGTTATGGTGATTGGATTGCTGACAATCGAACCCACCCTGATTCCACTCCAGATGCAATGGGGAGTTGCAGATCAAAGATGAAAGGTATAACAATCTTCTATATATATATATATATATATATATATATATATATATATATATATATATATATGAATATGAGTTTGTCTAGTGAAGCAGGTAGCAATTGCTATGAACTAAAAGAATAGTTTCACTGTATGTAGGCACGTTGTTGAACCACGTAAAATATTGTCTTCTTTATTTTTTTGTCTATTATTATTATTTACTGATCTTGTTAATCTTAACGTTAAAGTTCTCATGTGATTCTGCATCTATATATATACCCCATTGATGATTGATCAATGTTTATGGCATGCAGCAGGTGCATCTTCCTTCACAGTGGCTTCAGCTGTGGTGATTCTCAGTGACAGTGATGAAGAGAGGCCTGTGGATGAAGGGGCCTCTCTACCAAACCTCTGTGGTTCACAAGTTTTGGGACAAACAGAGAAATCATCTTCCACTCACAAAAGCCAAGAAAAGAAAGAAGAGTGTGTGGTGAAGATCGAGGAAGAAAAGAAGCTTAAGAAAGAGCCATGATGGTGGAGTTTCTGTTTCTCCAGGGAAGAAAATGTATCTTCACGATCTGCAGGACCATAGAGTGAGCTCGAGAAGTTGCAGCCATGGTGGTGATGGATCAAAGGGCGGTGCAGTAGCCCCCCCTTCGAAAGGAGGCAGTTCTGAGGATTCAGAAGATTCGTATACTTACTTGGGATCCCAGAAAGCGAAAGGAAGAGTGCCATGGCTGCTCGAACCTGACATGTGTTTGGCGTTTGAAGATGATCCTGAACTGTGTATGGATGCTGTTTGTGCACTTTATAGACTGCAACTTTCCCTACCGTCGTCCTTAAAACGCTTGGATAAAGAACTCGATATAGTCAGGTACACAACAATCGCCCTGTGTCAAGTATTCTCAATTTTCCCATACCTTTTCCAATCATATCCAATAGTTGAGTAATAACTTTACAACTAATGCAACCATGTATATTAGTCTCTTGTTTGTTCTCTTTCGTTTTTTTTGCATAATGCTTACCTCTCATTGGATAATCCATAATTGTTACATATGTGATTTTCTATTTTTCTTTTCATGTCAGGGTGGCCAAGTATCTCATCCACGACGATCCAGAGAACAAGCTGAAACGATCGGTTACAGAAGTGAGCAAAGACGTCATTGTTGAATGTAAAAGATTGGCTCTTCATCACAGGGCGGAGCTGTTTCGAGTATACTGTAGTGGTAAAGATCCTTTCTTCTGTTACAGTGCTATATGCTCCATGTTCTAGTTTGCTGCAAATTAAGCAAACTGTACATATTTGCTTAATTTCAGTCTTTTGCTGTTCTTAGGATTAATCCCACCAGTCTTCACATTTGATAATGTTTTGATGTTCTTAGGATCAACCTCAACATCAGCCTTCACATTTGATAATGTTTTAATTTGCTGTTCTTAAAATCAATACCCAGCATCAAGATGGTGTTTGTCTAACTCTTGATGCTTCAATTCATAGTTTGGCATTGTTTAATTTCATGGTTACCTTAGAAAGCACCAGAAATCAATGTCTATTGGTTTTTTTTATGGGTTTTGTTGGCTTTATAGTGAAATTACTCAGTATGGTCGATTTAACTCCTAAATTAGACTTTTAAAATGAAAATGCAAGTTAATATCAATAAATTATTTAAAATAGCTTCTCCATTTTTAATTTAATGGCATGAATAAGCCAAGTCAAAAAATTGTTTACCACACCCATTTTTAACTGTTTACCAAATAGTTAAAGTTAAACAAACTTTGATTGATAAGTCATTATCTGAATACCATTGTATGTAGCAGGGATATACAGTCCCGACCGACACAGGCTTAGTTACGTTCACTAGTTCAGAGAAAGGGAGGGATACTTATTTATGTGGTATCTGTGTTACACAACCCTATATCGTGCCCTATATCGCGGACTACTCGAAACTATCACAATTTCCTATCCTAGAAACATGACCGTTACAATCACGTATCAGGATTACATGTAGCACACATTATTGGTGTGAATTTTAGTGCTTACATTCATAATGAACAACTAATTAATTACAAGTTTTTCTTAGTACGATTTTTTTGTGGACTATTACTCATAAGTAATTTTGTTTAGTACATATCCTTAGTAGTTGTTTACCAAAGTGGAGAAATGAAAAATTTTCTGAAAAAATAAAAAATTTGAAAAGTAAAAAAAAGAAAAAATGAAAAACTTTGTTTACTAAATTTATTCCTTCAAATTCCCAGTGGGATTCAACCAGTGAAAGATATCAAATAACACTCTCTCAAAACATCACCACATCTAGAGGATAATTTCTGCATTTGATTGCAAGAAATCTAAACCACAATTCATTACAGAAATGCAGCATCTAGAGGATCATTAACTCATGACCAGAATTATAAAAATGGATTTGGATTCCGATTCAACAACCAAGAATTACCTGCACTGTCCTCTCTACCAAATTCTTCCTATGCTCTGCATTTGACACGTGGCATACTACTCCCAACACTTCAATGCCTTCACTCCTCAGTTTCTCAACTGCTTCATCCACATTTTTTCTGCAAACCAAACATCAAAAAAAAAAAAAAAAAAAAAACATCACAGTACCTTATTCCTCAAGTCACAAATTCCAAAAGCTAAAACCCCAAAACCAAACCTTGAAAATGACCCATACAAGATTTGTACCACGGCCATTAAAAAAGTTTATATCTTTGGTAAAATCTATAAGACCCAGAAGTTAAACTCTATTAACTTTCAGATAAAAGTCAAGAATTTTGTTTTAAAAAAAAATAATAAATTTAACCTGGTTGCGAGAAGAGATGACAACGGCGCCCCCCTCGCCGCCGGTACGCTCGGCGATGCTGAAGCCGATGCCTTGAGTTGAAGCTGTGAAGATTGCCACTTTCCCTGGGAATCGCTTTCCGATCTTCTCCATTACTTTCTTTCTCGAATAGCAAAGACAGCTGACAGCCTGCTTTAGAAATGCCGTATTTCATAACGACATCGCACGTTGTTCATTAAAGCATGTTTGACTTGTTTACAATTTAATTATTTTTAATATTTAATTTATTATTAATTAATAAAATTTAGGAATAAGGGTCAAATATGTCATCCAACTTAGAACTATCGAAACAAATCAACATGGCAGAGTCCGTCAAAGCCTGCTAAGGCACGCAATATGGTGTGGGGGGGGGGGGGGGGCAGGGCCAATTTTAAGATTTTTGTGGCCCTGTTCTGGTAAATAAATGAGGCCCTACCAAATTCACAATCTTTAAAACTAATAATTTTTTTCTAGTAATAATAATGTAGTAAAATGTTGCGCAAAGAAAAAAGCAAAAAACATATTATGGAATAAATTACAATTATAACAACAACAACAACAACAACAACAATAATAATAATAATAATAATAATATTAATAATAGTGTGCACACAATGCAAAAAAGGATTAAAAACAAAGAGAGATGTCCAATGCTAGCTGCAAGTTTTGAACTTTTGACCTCCAAATTGAATAATAATAATAATAATAATAATAATAATAATAATAATAATAATAATAATAATAATAATAAACCAAGACTATGTGGTCTAATGGTACCCGGGTTGGACTTCCATTTGGAAGGTTACGAGTAATAGGGCCGGTAATATATAGGTTGAGAAAGTATATGAACAGATACTACAATGTAATAGGGCCGGTAATATATAGGTTGAGAAAGTATATGAACAGATACTACAATGTAATAGGGCCAGTAACATTCAAAAAAATATAGGATTAAAAACAAAGAGAGATGTCCAATGCTAGCGGCAAGTTTCGAACTTTTGACCTCCAAATTGAAAAACAATAAACACATATTTTTACCATTCCTCCATCAAACCTTTTAAATATAGTTGAAAACTTTTATTCTTTATTTCTAAACTAACTAGGTAAAAATTAAATATTGAACCCTTTAAAATTTGGGGCCCTCTAAAAATTGGGGGCCCTGTGCAGTAGCCCAGCTTGCACAGCTCCAAATCCGGCCTTGGGGGTGGGCTTAAAAGCCTTCCAAAATACAAGCCTAAGAAAGATCGGTCGGCCTCACCCCAACTTGAGCCCACGGGCCTTGGCGTGGACCCGTCAAATTTTAAAAATTTTAAATTTAAATAAAAATTAATATAAAAAGTTAATAAGTATATATTAAAACAAGAGTAAATACCCAAAATGGTCCCTCGACTATAGCTAAATTCACAAATTGGTCCTCGACTTTCAATTTCAACCAATTAAGTCCTTAACTTTGCAATTTTAACACGATTTGATCCTCCGTCTATTTGACCGTTTGTTGACTATGATTTTTGAGGATATATATGTAATTTCATGGTCCATCGTCGTTTTTTTAAGGTTCCGGTTGCATTTTCAGACCGCACTCTAGTTGAGTTCGTACCAGAGCGAAGAAGACGACGTGTTTCCGAAACGGTGCAACGTCATCCTGGAGGCCTCCATGTGCTCCGACTAGAGCTGCAGGTTCTTCTGGAGATTGTCGATGACAGCTCAGCCGCCAGCGAAGGCGGCGATGATCCAGAATCGCGGCGAATGATGCAGAATCGTGAAATTACATATATATCCTCAAAGATCACGATCAACAAACTGTCAAATAGACTGATGACCAAATTGTGTTATAATTGCAAAGTTAAGGAGTTAATTGGTTGAAATTGAAAGTCGAGGACCAATTTGTAAATTTAGCTATAGTCGAGGGACCATTTTGGGTATTTACTCTTAAAACAATTTGGATAGTTTAAACATATAATAATATATTTGTAATTTTTTAAACACAAAAATAAGTAATAACTAATAAATAATCAAATGCATAATGTGTTAATCCATAAGTCAATAACAAATCATTTATACAATACACTACTTTTTTAACTTGATTATATATATATATATATATATATATATATATATATATATATATATATATATATATATATATATATATATATATATAAGAGCGCTCATATGTGGTCATGTCATTAGGTGTGGCAGTGTGGTCGTATCTGTGTCGTTGAATCAGTTTAATCTAACGGCAGTGGCTAATTCTGCAGATTTGAGGATTTTCGCGCGTTTTGGTAAGTGGGGGTGTTATGGTAATTATAGTGGCCATTTATAGCGGTCGGGTTCCAGAATACACCAACAGTGTTGACAACATGCACCAATATTGTAATAAAACACACCAATAGTGTATTCCCGAACACTGTATGATGTATTTATTCATATCTAATGGCGCGTTTCTGGTGATGCGTACCTAATTTGTGTATGTTTTTTGCTGTGCATTTCATAACATGGATGGTGTATATTTGTATAACAATTGGTGCGGCCATACAAACCACACGGGAAGGCGTTGCTGCACCTGAACTTGGCACCAACGGGAATCTACAAATACACTAGAGTAAGTCTAATAATTCACCAATTACACAAATAAAACACACAACAATGTTATTTCCCTTATTCCGGTGCCCTATGACAAGTTTACCCTTAGCTTGCAGTTCGCTGGGTAGGAGAATGTGCGCGAAAATACTGAAAAAATCTTGATTAATGTGATTCATTGGATCTATCTAATCTAATGAACTGTAATTGACCATATGACCACACCTAACAACATGGTTGCACTTGATCGCCCATATATATATATATAAAATTAGGTTCAGGTGCAGTTGTGCGGTTCAATATGAGCCACTGATCTTGCTTAAATGAATATCCAGGATTACCAAAATTTAAAAAAAAAAAATGCGGTGGCAATTTGGTAAATTTTTTGCATCTAGGTGCGTGGGTTTTGTGCTAAAGGTGCATTGATTGTGTGCTTATTGTGAGTATTTGTTGAAACTTAAGGTGCGTGGGTTTTGTGCTTAAGGTGCATTGGTTGTGTGCTTATTGTGAGTATTTGTTGAAACTTAAGGTGCGCGGGTTTTGTGCTTAATGTGCGTAAGTTTGTACTTAAGGTGCATGAGTTTTGTGCTTAATGTAAGTAGTTGTTGAAACTTAAAGTGCGTGATTTTCCTTCTTACGATGCGTTGTTTTCTTTCTTAAGGTGTGTGATTTGTAAGCTTAAGGTGCCTAAGTTGTGTGAAACTTAAGGTGAGCCATTTTAAAACCTTAGGTGCGTGATTTGTGTTCTTAAGGTGATTTGTTGTGTGCTTAAGGTGCGTGGTTTGTGTACTTAAGCTGCGTGGTTTATGTTCTTAAGCTGCTTTGTTTATGTGCTTAAGATTCGTGGTTTGTACGTGTACTTAAGGTGCGCCATTTTAATGCTTAAGGTGCGTCAACCGCACAACCGCACAGGAACCTTCCCCGCACCTGAACCCTTCCATATATATATAAAACATTAGCCGATTGTAGAAATGTGTTTGGCAAATTACCGATTAGCTGATAGCTGTTCAGTATAATTTCTTTTCTAAAAAAACTAATTTAAAAAGTTGCTTTTAGTAACTTTTTGAATTTTAGATTGCATTTTGAAGTTACAAAAAGCTAATTAACCA